AAAAAAAAAGGAAAAAAAAAAAAAAAAAAAAAGAAGGTGGTATGGGCATGGCAGCTTCTCAGCAGGGAGCAGTATACCTGGCAGGCTCTTCTCTGTAGCAGGCCTATTGCCTGCTGCTCCACTCCCAACTTTCCCTTATGGCCAGATTGGGCTTCTACTTGTGCTTCTCCAACCTCTGTGCCTTTGCACATGCCAGGTTCCCTATCTGCCTATCCAAATGCTGCCTGTCCTTTCAGGCCCTTCTCATATAGCTCTTCAAGCCCATAGTCATAGCCTGATGAAATCGGTACTTCTTATATAGCAATTAATCATTAACTGTAACTTCTCCTGTATTAATGTTTAGTTAAGTTTTATCTTATTTTTCCACTCCAACTGAACCACTTTATTTTTTATTGAAAAAATAATTGATTATACATATTTGTTATGAGCTACTTTAGGGAAAGGATATTGCCTTGTACAAAGAAGGTCTTTTCTTGTGGATTGGCTAATGATAGTAATACCTTTATTTTAATAGTGTTATATACTTTTAAAAGTACATTCATTCTATCTTCACAAGATCTCTCTTAGATCTCAGTGGCTAGGGGACAGATGAGGAAAATAGGTCTAGGAGGGTTAAGTGACTTGCCTAAGGTTACAGTGCACCAAAGCCAGAACTTTTCATTAGAAAATAAACATCTGGCCTGTGTTTTTCTGCTGTTCCATTACGTAGTACACCCTTACTCCACCCTACCCCATGGAAAGGGACTGTGGCATGGATCATAAAAATAAACACAGTTCAATCAGGGAGTCAAGTCACCATAGAAGGCATCACAAATTTCTCACGTGATCAAGAGCTCCTCCTTATGAGCCGTGAGGATGGGCCTCATGGGCTGTATGGTCTGTGCTGCTTCCTGGCTTCTCTCTCAGCAGCGTGGGCACTCAGATCCTTACTTTTGACAGGCCTGTGGCTGTGTCTGGCCAGTCGGGCAGCAGCAAGTGAAATGGACATTCAGGTGACAGTGTACTTGAATTCAATTATTTTACAAAAATAGCTTAAAAAACAGGCCATTTTGAAAACAGGATGAGCTGTTAATTCACAAAGGTCCAAGCTGAAGTATGAGCACTGTTTTTGGAAGTAATGGCAAGGCAACTGATACATAATATAAGTTACCTAACTTTTTTTGCTGGGTGACTAGACAAAAAAGAAGAACTTAATGGTTCTCAACACGGTTGGGATGTTGACAGTCTTTCTGGAAAGTGGCTTAAAAAGAATGTTGTCTGAAACTTCCTGGCATACTGCAGTCACTTCTTATAAACTCATTAGTTTGTAAGTGGTGTGCCTGGCATTCTGTTCTACCATGAGCCCCTCTCAGAGGAGCTGGCAACTGGTGGTTGGTGTGTGCAATTTATTGCAAACATAGAGTAAGTTATTGTACGTTCATCATAAGGTACATGATGATGAATGTACAATAACTTGGTACCTGTGTTTTGTGACAGGACTAGAGTGGGGCCCAGTGTTCAAGTTGGAGAATCACATCATCAAGCCTATGCCAAAAAACTCTCAGGCACTTCTGGAACATGTGAGGCTCTGCCTTATAAAAGAATAGTCAGGGAAATAGTAGATTCCTCAAACAGCTACCTGATGCTGAACAGAGAAATAGGAAATAGTGCAGTGAATAGGAGAAGCTTAAGAATGGTTGGTTATCTAAATCAGTGCTTTTCACACTGTGGGTTATAAAATCAGTTTAGTTGGTGGTGACCAGTATCTTTAAAAAAATGAAGTAGTGAAGAAAGAAAATATCAGAATATAGTACATGTAGTAAGGATAAGTATTCTATTGTGAAACATTCGTTTGTTATTTGCATATAAGTATCTAAGTATAACACCCAGTGTAATATGGCACTTTAAATGCATTTTCTGTATTTACTTTGAAACTTCAGACTACATTTCTTTTACCTGTGGCTATTTGGCTACTCTTGTTATGTTGTCTAATCCAATTTAGAATTAATATGGTCCAAGTGTGGATTAACTAAATATTGGCTGGGCCTCAAGAAGAGTAACATAGTCTTGACATTAGCTTAAGAAACAAAGCAAGACAAAAGAAATTTTCCTAAAACCACCATATCCAACCAAAGCCGTGGGCAGTAGAAAGGACTGCGAAATGCTTGTGCCAGTACTAAGCAGCTTGGAAAAGAAGGGCATAAAACAAGATAATTCATTTTTTTTAACAAAGAGTTCAGTGCTCAGAAAATCTGGAAAAGGGTGAACAGGAAGATGATCTAGAATCTGAAATCAGAGTCTCGCAGATTCCTTATGAAGGGCTTTGAAGGCAGAAAACACTATATGCATTCTCCTCCTGTCAAGGCCCTGGTTATCTTATGGGTGGTGAGATCCAGGTTTGCTTACAGGGTCTCCATGGAGCACTTTGCTGAAGTGTTTGTGTCTTCCTGGAACTTATCTCAGAGCTGCATAGCTGTCCACTTAGTTGGGAGCAGCGGAGGGGAAGGTACAAACCGGATTCCAGACTCCTTTATCTTATTCTGGGCGGAGACAATAATATCCATGGTATGGAAGTACATATCAGTGTACACAAATATTCAGTGTAGAAAATCTGATGTAAACAGAGTAATGAAGCATTTTATAATAGGATTTTAATTGGCTCTATGAAAAAATGTTTGCAAATTACGTAAGTAGAAACATTTGTGGTTATTTCAGGACTTAGTGGTTACCATTTAAGAAGTCTGCCTTAGGCCACAGACTTAGGAAGAGGAAGAGCCAGTCTTCTGAATGTCAGGCCAGTGCACTTCCCTGAAAGTGCACCTCACAGGGTATGAGGCCCAATATAAACAAGTAAAAATTTGGTGGCAAGTCAGCACAGAAACCTCAGTGGCGATTTATCTTCCTACTAGGGTTGCATATACTTTCGGTGTTCATGGAATTCAGGGTGCCCTTAGATTAAGAATCAAATTAAGTTGTAATTAATATTTTTGATTTTACAAGTGCTTTTCTGCATTATCTATGGACTAATTTGGGATTCTAATACTCCTTGGGATTCTCAAAGTATCCCAGTTTCACAGTTATTGGAGAGAGTGGGGAGAAGGGGTTGTCTTTTCAAAGAAGTATATCCTGGTTTCTTTGAAGCCAGCAAAGTTCTGATTTTCAGTAATGTTTAAAGTGTCAAATTTAACCAAGCTGCTTTCCCAAAAGATTTCCTGACTCCCTTTATATCTGTCAACCATTGAAATAATTAACTTTTCTAATGTTCATCTAAGAAAATAGAACTGTTAATACTTTGTTTATTCTGAGAAATTATGATCTGATTTTTTTTTTATGAGTATAGGGAAGATGTATTAGTTAAGATTCTTTCTCCAGAGAAACAGAGCCAATAGGGTGTGTGTGTGTGTGTGTGTGTGTGTGTGTATTTATTTATTTAAAGAAATTGGCTCATGCAGTTATATGAGTATAGGGAAGATGTATTAGTTAAGATTCTTTCTCCAGAGAAACAGAGCCAATAGGGGGTGTGTGTGTGTGTGTGTGTGTGTGTATTTATTTATTTAAAGAAATTGGCTCATGCAGTTATGGAGGCTGGCAAGTCTAATATCTACAGGGTAGGCCAGCAGGCTGGAGATTCAGGAAGAGCCATGTTGCAGTTCACGTCTGAAGGCTGGCTGCTGCTAGTATTTCCATGATCTGACTTTTTAAAAAAAATAATAAGTACATTCTAAGATGTTGTTGGTGGGGTGAGGGGGAAAAAGGGGCCAGGGCTGGCACACAACTGGCTCCGTTGCTGGCTGGTTGTGGTTGGCAGTGGGTGGGGCTGAGGCCCTCTGCCCCCTGCCTCAGGACCCTGGGGGCTTCTGGCTCCAGCCTCCATGGACTTTTGGATGCAAACTTACATGTACAAAACTAAGGGATTAGCTGAAATAAGAGCTCAATTTAATCTAGGTTTTTCTGAAAAAATTACTGTACTTTTAAATTAAGATACTAAAATATACTTATTTAAAAATATTTGTGAAGAATAGAAAAGAATAAAGATCTTCTCTCATTGAAAAGCATTTTAACCCCCAAATCCTATCTTGTGTTGTATTGGTATTAAAGATGAGCTAGGATGAGTTTAACTCATGTCATCAAAAATTAAACTATTCAACAGAATTGTATTTCCAAATAATTGCTATTATTTTAATTTTTCTGATACAGATGAGGAACTAGCACTGGATGGCAGTTTTGACCAAGACCTAAAAAACTATCACAAACTCCATTGGGAAACAGAATTCAAACCTGTGGCACAGCAGCTACTAAACCGAATACAGAGACATCACACCTTTCTGGAACCCCTGACTGTTCCTTCTTTCTAACATGATGCAGATCACCAACAGAAACAGGAAATCAGGTCTTCCTTATTCTCTAGACAAACGTGAACATTTTTTTCATTAGTAACAAATATTGAAAGTTTTTCAAGTACTGATTTTAGTGAGTAGGCTAAGTATTTTAAAAGAAATAAACATTTCCTCTTGTTAGGTAATATGGAAAAATGAATATAAATATTATATTTTCTGCTATGAGAAGTGTAAGATGAAAATATATGCATTTTTTCAGTAAATGACTTTTTCTTCTATTCTCCATTAAATAATTTAGTTCTAGTCTTAAAATTATGAGTTAACAATTTTGTTTTTATGCCAGTACCATGCTGTTTTTATTACGATAGCTTTGTAACATAATTTGAAGTTAGGAAGTGTTATGCCTCCAGCTTTATTTTTTTTGCTCAGGACTGCTTTGGCTATTTGGGGTCTTTTGTTGTTCCATATGAATGTTAGGATTGCTTTTCTATTTCTATGAAGAATGCCATTGGTATTTTGATGGGTATTGCACTGAATCTGTAGATTGTTTGGGGTAGAATGGACATTTTCATGATGTTAATTCTTTCAATCCAAGAGCATGGTGTGTCTTTCCACCTTTTTGTGTCCTCTTTAATTTCTTTCAGTCGTGTTTTATAGTTCTAATTGTAGCAATCTTTCACCTCCTTGGTTAAATTGATTCCTAGGTATTTTATTTTTTTTGGTGACTTTTGTAAATGGGCTTGCTTTCTTGATTTCTTTTTCTGCTAGTATGTTATTGGGGTATAAAAAATGTTATTGATTTTTGGGTGTTGATTTTGTGTCCTGCAGCATTACTGAAATTGTTTATCAAAAAACCCTTAGAGCTGATTGAGTCTTTAGGTTTTTCTATATATAAGATCATGTCATCTGCAAACAGGGACAGTTTGACTTCATCTTTTCCAATCTGGATGCCCTTTATTTCTTTCTCAATTGCTCTGGCTAGTACTTCTAGTACTATGTTAAATAGGAGTTGTGAGAGTAGGCATTCTTGTCTTGTTCCTGTTCTGAAGGGAAAAGCTGCTTTTCCCCATTCAGCATGATCTTGAATATTGGTTTGTCCTATATGGCTTTTATTGTGTTGAGATAATTTCCTTCTATACCTACTTTGCTGAGAGTCTATCATAAAGGGATGTTGAATTTTATTGAATGCTTTTTCTGCATCTATTGAGATAATCATATGGTTTTTGTCCTTGATTTTATTGATGTGATATATCATATTTATTAACTTGTGTATGTTGAACCATCCTTGCATCCCTGGGATGAATCCCACTTGATCATGGTGTATAATTTTTTTGATGTGTTGCTGTATTCTGATTGCTAATATTTTGAGGATTTTTGCATCTATGTTCATCAAGGATATTGGCCTATAGTTTTCTTTTTCTGTTGTGTCTGTCTGGTTTTGGTATCAGGATGATGCTGTCCTCATAAAATGAGTTTGGGAGAATGGCTTCTGTTTCAATTTTTTGGAATAGCTTGAAGGGAATTGGTATTAATTCCTCTTTAAAGTTTGATAAAAATCAGCTATGAAGCCATCTGGTCCTGGGCTTTTCTTTGTTGGAAGATTGCTGATTACTGCTTCAATCTTGTTGCTTGTTATGAGTCTGTTCAGTTTTTCTATTTCTTCTTTGTTCAGTCGTGGTAGTTTGTATGTGTCCAGAAATGTATCCATTTCCTCCAGGTTTTCATATTTGTTGGTGTACAGTTGTTTATAATAATCTCTAATGATTCTTCATATTTCTGTGGTATCAGTTATAATGTCTCCCTTTTCATTTCTGATTTTTATTTGGGTCTTTTCTCTGCCTTTTTTTGTTAACCTAGTTAATGGTTTGCCTATTTTATTTATTTTCTCAAAAAAACTTTTTGTTTCATTGAACTTTTATATTGTTTTTTGGGTCTCTATTTCGTTTAGTTCTGCTCTGATCTTAATTATTTCTTTTTGTCTACTACTTTTAGGATTGGATTGTTATTGTTTTTCTAGTTCTTTGGGGTATAGAATTAGGTAGTTTATTTGAAACTCTTCTATTCATTCGGATCAATGGAACAGAATAAAAAAACCTGGGAATCAACCCATGTACTAACAAGAACATACATTGGGAAAAGACTGCCTCTTCAGTAAATGGTGCTGACAAAATTGGACATCCATATGCAGAACAAATACCTCTCACCACATACCCAAATCAAATCAAAATGGATTAAAGGCTTAAATATTAGATCCAAAACCATAAAATTACTAAAAGAAAACATAGGGGAAACACTCCAGGAAGTAGGACTGGGCAAAGACTTTATGAATAAGACTCCAAAGCAGAAGCAACAAGAGAAAAAATAAACAAATGGGATTATATGAAACTAAAAAGCTTCTGCACAGCAAAGGAAATAATCAACAGAGCAGAAAGACAACCTATGGAATGGGAGGAAGTCTTTGCAAACACTATATCTGACAAGGGATTAATATCCAGAATATATAAGGAACTCAAAGAACTATATAGTAAAAAACAAATAATCCGGGCCGGCCCGGTGGCGCACTGCTACAGTGCGCCGCATGGGAGCGCAGCGGCTCTCCTGCCGAGGGTTTGGATCCCACATACAGACCGGCTGCTCACTGGCTGAGCGAGGTACGGGTGCAACACCGAGGGTTGCGATCCCGTTGCCGGTCCCGGTCCGGTACGGGCGCAACACTGAGGGTTGTGATCCGTTGCCAGTCATGAAAAAAGACAAAAATGAAAATAAATAAATAAATAAAAAACAAATAATCCAATTAAAAAATGGGCAAAGGAGATAAATAAACATTTCTCAAAGGAAGACATACAAATGGCCAACAGGTTCATGAAAAAATGCTCAGCATCACTAATCATCAGGGAAATGCAAATCAAAACCACATTGAGATATCATCTCACCCCAGTTAGGCCATTATTAAAAAGACCGAGAATAACAAATGCTGATGAGGATGCAGGAAAAGGGGACCTTTTCTACACTGTTGGTGAGACTGTAAATTAGCACAGCCATTCAAACAACTACAGATGGAACTACCATATGATCCAGCAATCCTGCGACTGGGTATATACCCAAAGGAATGGAAATCATCATGTCAAAGGGATACCTGCACTCCCATGTTCATTGCAGCTCTATTTACAATAGCCAAAATATGGAACCAGCCTAAGTGTCCATTGATGGATGACCAGATAGGGATAATATGGTATATATACACAATGGAATACTACTCAGCCTTAAAGAAGATTTGCCATTTGCAGCAACATGGATGAGCCTAGAGAACATCTTAAATATGTTCTCACTCATAACTGGGTGCTAGGAAGGAAGGGAGGGAGGGAGGAAGGAACCACAATAATATGCTGAACTTTCAGAAGTGCTGGGGTCCAGCCCTAGCACAGGGGTCATGGGGTCCTCACTGATAATCCCCCAAAAGGGAGGAAGGGCAGCGTTGGCGATGGAATGGACAGCAAACACACAGACTCAAGAGATCTGCTGAATGCTGACACTTTATTGAAGCATGCACACACCTTTTATACTTTTCCTTAAAAGCAAAATAATCATTGAACAACATTATAACATCTTCTTATGAGTAACATGTGTTCCCAAGAAAAATAACATTGCAATATGTTCCCAAAGAAGATGACTACAATGTTCTTTCCTTTGAACAAGAACGTTACAACCCACTGGTCCCAGATAATCATCAATTGTTAACGTTTAGTTTAGCTAAATCTACGTTACATTGAATTCCGTATGACGTTATTAAAACATAATCCAATTGTAATATAAAATAAGATTCTCTTACCTACTACATCCTATAATGTGTTAAGCCTTATGAAAATATTCTAAAACTTAACCTGAATCTATATTTCCAAGATTAACTAACATATTATAAGTAAAATAATCAATTAATTTTCTTATCCCAATACCAATTCACCATAAGTAATAATTCTAAATTCACTATCCTATGAGAGATAAAAACATTCGCTAAAAGACCTTTTATGAGGTTTCTTCCTTGAGGGGAATTCTATGATCTGCTTTCAACTAAGATGTACTCTTTTTAGGGGTTTTTTTTACTGGAAGAGAAAGTTTATGTTTGACTCTTTGAAACAGGCAGACTAGGCATAGTAGTAGTTATTTTATAACCATGTTGCCTAGCAACTTTTGAGTAAGTTTTTAATAACATCTCCATTATGTTCACTAATTGCACTAAAAACAATCCTTCCAGGAAGCAGACAAGGTAAATGTTTACATAGGTTCGTTGTCCCCTTCTGGTCCTAGCTGCCACAGACCATCTCCAGAAAACCCAAGAGCATAACTCCCAGGAGTGTCATTAGTATGGTTAAGCATTCTGGTATGAATCTCAATCCCACTCCCAATCCCCCCAGAGCGATAATTATGAGGCAGTAAGAAATAGAATATAATAAGACAAAGCAAGCACACGGAGCTCCAAAAAATGAGGGTGGAACGGCGGCACCTCCTCCCACGATGAGGCCTTGCAAGCATCATGTCAAGTCAGAGGATCCTTGTCAAACTCTGGCTTCTTGGATTTGGTGTGCCCCCTCACAGAAGGAGAGAATAAAGCTAAGAATATTAGAGATGGGGGAGTGGAAGGGGGACTGGGGAGTGATAGGTTGGGTGGAGGGCATGGGGAAATGATTTGTAATGATGACTATGCTAATAATAAAACAATTTTGTAATTTAGTTCATTTAACTAATGAACTGTGCAGTGAAGACGATTAGATTTTATATATAGAGAGAATATTGGTCACCATGAATGTAACATGTTACAGTGTGACATAAACATCTGTACTAATTCTTACTACCTCTAATAATACATTTCCTGATTAGTACCAGTATTTTTCTGGTCCTCATATTAAGAGAAGGAGTAAGCAGAAGAACTTACAGCAGACTGCTTTGGGCCATCTATGCTTTATTAAATAAGTAAAATAGACAAAAACAGAAGCATTTTATCTCTTCCTTTTCATTTGAAATAAAATGACTGGACTAGACAGTCCTAATTATAACTCTGCATTTAGAGAGGTGATATAATGTATTGGAAAGAGTGCAAGCTTAGGTGTGTGGCAGACCTCAGTTTGAATCCTAGCCTCTTCCCTGT